AGGCTTAGCGGGGCTCTCTTTTGTTACAGTTGATCAACGGCCGTCAGAGGTAGAAACGAGGGAGCAGCGGACTTTGTGATTTCTAAGTTATGGTCCATTGGTATCTTAGCCGTTGTCGAAGACGATGGAGATTCAGGTAGTCACGTCTAAATATATAATAGAAGTAAGCACAGGTTGCACGGCTTCCGTAGTGCTTGTAGTGGATTCTACCTGGAGTCCGCCCACATGGGAAACGATATTACATGATTAGCCAGACTTGGCCGAGTCGGCCCTAACCCTGAGTTGAGTCTAACCTGGACTCATAACAGTTGACTGTAACACTCGGTAACAGTAGAATTTCTATCATAGATCTAGATTGTGATCTATAACAAAGGGACTATTTGATGGCTGGTGTGAATTTCAAAAACGGCCCCTCTTTCTGACCCGCTGCAAAGTGGTCCTTTACATGAAACTCAAGGGGCAATGGGTCTCGACTTTCGATCTCAAACAGTACCGCCAGTCTCGCAACTATCAGATAGATTGACATCAGAGCCATGTTTTTACCAATGCACCCCCGAGTCCCTAGACTGAACGGGAAATAAGCAGAGCGCAGCTTCTGCACCTCCTCCTCGGAGTCTACAATCCAACGTTCGGGACGGAATATCTGCGGGTCTGGATAGACCTCCGGGCTGCGGTGCATGGTCCATGTCGGAATTCCAACGGGTACCCGCGGTGGAATCCAGATGCCATCTATAAAGCCACCGTTGGGGGCCTCACGCGTAAGGTACCCAGGCACACCGGGACAGAGCCGCATGGCTTCCTCGGCGCACGCTTTGAGGTATCGACACTCTTGCAGCATTTTCCCCGGAACTATTTCCTCTGCAGATGAGAAGCGAGACCGCACCTCTTCTTTTAATTTGGCGTAGCATTCTGGATATTTGGCGAGATAGAAGAACAGCCCTGTTAGAGCTGTTCCGGTGGTGTCACTCGCTAAAATACCGTCAGATGCCGCTTTATACGACGCCACAAGCCGAGAGCTTACCAGCAATAATCAGGACAACAGCTTCATCAGAGAGCTCTTTGAAACCCATACTGTCTCCTGTTTCTTTGTCTTTGTAATCGAGGAGCAACTTGAAAATATCATTGGAACCCTTGCCAGCTTTCTCGAGGTTGATGCGAGTAGTAACCTGGTCGTCGACATATTTGCGAAACCGCTTATTGTCGGACATGATATTCAAAAATAGTAATGGAGCAAGGCCATACTGTTCAATCTTCGGCTCCGTACCAAGCTAAGACCACTGTCAATCCTGTTGTGATCTTTTGTTATTCACTAATCAACTTACGATCACTTGGCAATGCTGGTAAGAATCGATCAACGGCTGGATAAAATGATGATCATTCTTTGTCAACATGTCATAACTCTGGTTGAAAGTGAGTGTTCCCATGATATCGTATGTCAAGTAGGAAAACCACCTGGACATGTTCTTATACTCGCCGCCAAATGTTTCAAAGTCTGCAATGCCGCGGCAGAACAACTCGATTTTTTTGATGATGACTGGTTCGTAGGAGCGCAAGGCTGCCTCGCTCATGGCGTGGGAGATGATTCGTCTCTTACGCGCATGGACCTTCTTATCCGTCGTGCTTGCCAAGTTGACCAGGAGTTGCTTTTCCTTGGGCCCTCGGGTATAGTACATGCCTTTTTCAAAAACCGATTTGGTATCGTATACGGCTTGGTGAGTGTTAGGTCATTTTTTAGCGAAACTTTAAAGAGTGATTTACTGACTTCTCACGGCATTTGGTGTGCATATTGAAATGAAATTTGGTTCAGTCCGGAGGACTGGACCTGTTCACTTATCAATACGACTGTATTTGTCTCGTGGGAAGATCATCCTACCGTATTTTTTATGAAGTCTGTCAATAACTAGATGGCGGTCCCCTGTCCAGGCATAATACAAGCTCGGTAGAATGCTGATTCGCCATAGAAAGGGTCCAGGGTGCTTGGCCAGTTGGTGAAAATAAAGGTTATATATTATGGAACAGACAGTCTGTGAAAAAATCAATATTTCGAAACATTTGGTTCTTCCGTTCTGAAGTCTCTAACCCATAGAACGATTGTGATGCCTATTGCCTTCCCAACCTGTTCAGCCGAGACTGCACCGGCTAGGCTCAAGAGATGGTCATGGCGGTTGGCCAGTGAATGGCCTAGTTTCTGAGTATCCATGTCTACCTACCTAGGTATGGACAATCACCGTAGTACACTGTGATATTCCCATTTGGTTGGGAAGAATGCGAGCACTACGACCCAAGTATTTTCTTGTCCTTGCCCTTGTCCAAGCTGACAAAGGCGGAATTGTTTACACGCGATTGGCTACCATGCATTGCGGGCACCGTATGGATTGCCCCCGATTCCCGACCGAGGAGATAATTAATCGGTCCGCTTAGTTAGCACCAACAGCAGCCCAATGCACCAATTGAACAGACTGTCTACTCTACCACGCCACGGACCCGCCGTTCAAAGAGAGAAGGATTCGCGCTAGACGTCACTCTAGAATCCTGATGGCCATTGTTCCGCGAATAGTTTGAGCCAATTTTCTCATTGCTTTGCCAACAAACGTAGCTAGTCGAAACCTCTGCATTGAGAACATGACCTCTTCGAATGGGGGCGTTAAGGAAGCAGTGCAAGGCCAGCCACCATCGACTCAAGCACAGAGGTACAATGTTGAGGAGTCCCTCCCAGCTCACCAACTGATCCTACTTGTCATTGCGTCAGCCTCTACCTAAGTATTTCACCGTGGCTCTCACGTGAAGTTTGCTAACTACTTACAGGCTCTCTTTGGCAGTATTTTGCCAGGCGCTAGTAGGCAATTCCATTTAATCAATGATAACTTGCGCTCTGAGTGCAGTCGCTGATGAACAATTCTTAGGATCAAACCATTATTACAAATAACGAATGACTTCGATTCTCTAGATGACCTAGGGCAAGCTTCCATGACCTCGAGTTAATTCCTCTGTCTTAACAAATCCATAGCTGGTATGGCTCGTCGTACCTTCTGAGTTCAACCTTCTACGTCAATAGGCCACGGAATTGTTTCCGACCCTAGCTTGCCACTTGCGCATTCCAGCTCAGCTATGGCAAACTCTATCAATCCTTTCCGCCCAAATGGGTATTTCTGGTATCAGTGGCCCTGTTCGAACTGGGAAGCCTGGTACTGGGAACAACGCCATTATTCATTGGCTTCATTTTTGGAAGAATCATTGCAGGAAACTCGGTGCTTGAGGAATATTTTCGGGGGTAATTGACTCATAACCTACCTGTCCTCGGAAAAGTATCACACAACGGCTCGTACTAATCGCCTCCACTGCACAGGCTCTTCTGCTCGTTGCCGCGTCGGTACCACTCGAAAAGAGCCCAATCTATACTGGACTCTTTGGCTCAATGTATGCTATTGCAAGCGTGGCAGGGCCATTGTAAGTCAATTGAAACCTGCTTGGTCTATCGACAGTTCTTGACTGCTGATCATGTCTCGCGACTACAGACTGGGAGGGGCTTTCACCGAGCGAGTGACGTGGCGACTATGTTTTCTGATTAATTTGCCCTGTGGGCTACTTACTGCCGTATTTGTGATATTCTCCATGCCAAACTCTCACATTGATGGCCCGGAAGCAGATGCTCCTGTCAGCATGAAACACAAGATCTTGCATCTAGACTTGGCGGGTCTGTCAGTGTTCATCCCCATGGTGGTTTGTTTGCTATTATCATTGCAATGGGGCGGCACCACCTACTCTTGGACGAGCGCCATTATCACCAGTCTGTTTGTATTGGCTGGAGCTCTCATTCTAGTCTTCAGCCTGACTGAAGGGTGGCAGAAGAATCGAGCAATGATACCTCCCGGGTTCCTCAAAAATAGGACAGTCATATTGTGCTCCTTTTCTGTCTTTTTTCTGTATGGTTCATTTGTGGTGGTTTCTTTCTTTTTACCCATCTGGTTTCAGGCGATCAAAGGCGTGTCACCCATGCAAAGTGGTATTGATACATTACCATTGATGCTTGGCACAGTGGTGGCTTCGATGGTGGGTGGTGGACTGGTATCGTGGGTTGGTTACTACAGCTGGGCCTGTATACTTTCGAGCATCTTCACTACAGTGGTCAGCCAACGACACATAAGATATCGGCGGTGATTTGGGGCTGACAATCACTAGGGAGTTAAACTTTTGACAACATTGGGCACAACAACCGGTTCTGCAGCCTGGATCGGTTACCAAGTGTTGGTGGGACTTGGACTTGGCTTGGTAAGGCTCAAGGTGATTGATCGAGAATTAAGTCACTAATTGCGGTTCATGACAAAGGGAGTGCGCATACCAGAGATTGCCGTTCAAGTGGTGCTCTCCGACAGCCAAATTTCCCAAGGCATCGCACTCATAGTTTTCACCCCAATACTTGGCGCGGCCATCTTCGTTCAGGTGGGACGAAACGTTCTCAACAACCGGCTTGTGATAGAAATCGCCAAGGGGGGTATTCCGATCAATTCAAAAAAGCTCCTTGACCGGGGTATTACTCAGCTGGTGGATTTTGTCCCAGCTGAGTATCGAGACAAGATGATGCTGGCATAATGCAAGGCGATAACACAGGTCTCTAGCGCGTTTTTATTCAAGACATTGAACTAGATACTGATGAAGAGATATACATTCTATTTGGCGTTGGATCTTGCAGCAGCAAGCTTTTTAGGTGCCATTATTATTCCTTGGCACAGTGCCAAGTCAAAGAGCCCTCGTAATCACGAATTTGAGGCTCCTTCTGAAAGTGCGGTGGATAACTGTCGAGAGGAAACCAAGGAGAAGCCAAGTGAGATATGAATGGCGTAGACAAAATCAGCAGAAAGAAACCCTAGAGCTCAGTGAGATAGAAGCAGATTTGTATGATTCTTCGGTAGGAAACGAAGTCTGCTTCCTTTGTAAATAGAAAAGTTTCCCCAAAATCGTGACTGAGTCGAAATTAAAGCTTCTGAAAAAGATTCCCGAGGCCATTCACGCAAACCACCGCTGTTGTCATCGAGATGCTAGGATCCAAGCGAAGGATCCATTTCGGTTTTCATCACATCAGCCTAGTGATTTATTGGGAAAGAGTATCCAAGAACAGTTGGAGTATGAGCAAATTTTCCTGATATCAGCCGTGATTGAGGACCTTGATGTCCCCGAACCTGAGGCCATCACATGGCGTAGCCAATGGCGCGCAATTACATAGAAGATGTTTGCTTGGCAGCTAAACCATCAACGATGTGTCATGAAAATTTGTTCGATAATGCCATCCCTCTTCGGGCGGGCGTGGAGGCCGAATTTCTGACAGCCTGTCTGGTAATTGGGTATTTAAGAAGTCTCGTCTCCAACCCCCCATCCGCAGCCCGATCAGGTCACGGTCGTCCCAAGGTCCTGCGAAAATCATCTATCATTAATTCGCAGAGACCTCACTTTTTGTTTACCGGCCATAGATACCTTCAAACTGCTCCCCTACACGACAATGCGCTTCAATTCCTTGGCTTGCGTGCCTTTTCTCCTGAGCTCCACCCTCGCTCATATCCTTCATATGGATGACGGAACACACAGCTCGATTGCCACCGCATGGGAGTTTGATAATGATATAACCACGCGCGCTCTCATGGCCTCCTTTGACTGCCCATCCACTGCCATGTATGCCAAAGTCAACATGACCAGCACCTGGGCCATTATTGGAGTGGGTCTACCCAATGTCACAAGCCTTTACGACTATCGACCTTCGCTCTGGGCCATCGGAAAGACGGTCATTAGCCCGGAAGGCTATCAAACAGATGCTGACCGGCAGAGCAGCGGATTTGCTAGTCGTCCTTCTTTCACACCGAACGTGCCTCGAGGATTCAACGCTGTTGAATACCCTACTGAGGGCACACCGTTGTTCCAACCTTTTGACGAAGAGGACAGTGGTATATCTGGATATGGTCTGATTGGCGCGAATGTGACCCTCAGCGAGGCTGGAGTGGTGTATCTTGTTCTGCAACCTGTGGAGAACCGCCGGGGACGCGCATTCATCTCTCTCGGGACAAACGAAACAGCGGCACCTGAGAAGGGATCCGCAGACAAGGATCAAGTGGCTGCTTGGTTTGGAGAGGCTACCATACCTAGAACTGGCTTGGCTTGTACGCCTTGGTCGGTCTAGGTATACTATCCCAGCTGCTTCGAGTCGGGCCAGGTCGTCCCCCGGACCATAGGAAGGTATGAGCTTCAGAAAATGCCCCAGTTGAGTCTTCAAGCTCATTGACCAAACCAGCCATGCGCTTCAGCAAAAGTTGCGTTATAATAGAACGAATTTGATGAATTGTTGAGTGATTCGCACTCTATAAAGGATCTTTAGGATTATAATTGTTAATCTTTATTGAGTGTTACTTGAAGTATCTCCCTGCCTATTTGTGAATATCAATTTGAAGACTCTTAGTAATTCATTGGAGTACTGATAGGATTGGATTGTGACAAATAATGGGGACAACTATCTAAATTGCTTCACTATTTGACCCAGTTTGTCTGACATTCTGACAAAAATATACAATTGATCTTATCGGGCTCTTAGAACTCCCAATTAGTTTCCGACTAAAAGTATTTATCCATGTAGACGTATTTATACCAGAATCATGGCGGCCCAAGACATCTGATCGCTTAGTGTGGGACTGACTATAGGTAGACTGCAAAATCTCAAGTTCCCAGGTTCCAGTCTCCAAGGTGGCGGAAATGCTGTTTACAGAATTGCAAATATGTCATCGCCTAAGTCCATCCCCGTACCCCCTTAACAGTCTTTCCAAAGTATTCTTCAAAATGTCGCTCGGCTAGTCGTATTCATGGCACATAGCTATGGTGGCCTTGCGACAATGTAACCTCTTTGACGATTGATAGCCTTGGTAGGTGGTCGGATTTCTCTGGGTTCACTGTCGGCCTCATATTCCTTAGAACCCCGTTCCTAGAACAAAGAGTTCTCTTACTAATTCAAATCGTTGAAACCGATGCACAACATCATCCAGATCTAATGAGAGGCTATGGCGCTTTCCGTCGATGCTTTTGTTTAAATCTAATGCTTCTCAATTGTACATCTAGATGCCTACTCTAGCGCCGAATATCACAAATACTATTGAGGTCGATCTTGCCATCACCAGCAAAGTTCTAAGAGAGCAGTTCGAGAAGCTCATTTTCACCGCTCGAGAAGTTGAAAGAATCAACTTTCGTACTCTTTAAGTCTATGCTCTACACTCGTTTTCACGCTACAGGAAAATTTGGTTAGAATCCTATTCTATGCCTATGTCTCAGAATGGCTCTTGCCCTGTCCAATAGTTGACATGACATGAAACACCTATCAATAGATGCTCGAGACCCACGGCGACTCAATATGAGTTAGCGTTCTCTCCGGACGGCAAGACGGTTGCGCCGGCGTGTGACGACCACACGATCGGGCTCTGGAGAAGGTTCTCTGGCTCCCACCACACTTCAGACCTACATTCACGGCATTTCACGATATTCCGACGCAGTTTTCTTTGATTTGCATTATCATCGCCAAAGTCATTCTTTCATCTTTTTTTTACACCGAGGAAATGCGTGGGAGAAAGATTGTTCTATGCTTATTGACTTGCACTATGTACAAGTTGAGATAGGTCCACGTCACCATTTAAAATTCAATCGATTCAATCAGCCGGTCATTTCCCACTTTGATCTTTCAAGTTTTGGGTCTCGCACCCACGCGTTAAGGCCCGTCAAAGACCGCTGTGTAGTGCCATATTTAGTCATGATGTAATGAGTGCTCTTGCGTCGTGCGCCGTCTTAGGACGAGGGTGACAGCCTTAGTCCAGCACGCAAAAGTCACCGGCGTAGCCGTACTTGAAGCGAGCTCAACCCGCCTTTCTTGACTCAGCAGCCTTCTCCGCCTCGCGCTCCCACTTGCGCAGGGCTCTTATGCGGATGTTCTTTTGCTGCCCGAGATTGTACCACAGCCCGAGCTTGGAGCCTTCACCAATGATGTGCTCGACGCACCACTGCATGAGCGCATGCGACCACCACGGCGCGTACATATGAGCTAAATTTTGTGTGCCCCCGAGGCCGACTTTAGCAAGGGCAGCACGTACATATGCTGGCTGCATTGGTGCGAAGGTGCTGGGCTTCCAGATCTTGCTCATTGTGCCGACAGTGTAGTGGGTGAAGACCAGGTAGACGTCAACGTTGCTCTCTTTAAGCTCGCTTGCTAATGCCGCACTCCAGTGATGTAGAAACGACTTGCTTCCAGCGTAAGTAGCTAGGTAGGGCATAGGCATCCAACCGGCTGTAGAGCCCATATTCAAGATGAGACCGCGCTTGCGTTGTGCCATGCCCGGAGCGATGACACGTGTTGTCCTGAGCGTTCCAAGGCAGTTAACAGTGACAATGTTATCTATAATAGCCTCCTCGGTCAGGATAAAGGGCACGGCGAAACTATGACTCTGGCCAACATTGTTGATTAGAATGCCAATCTCGAGCCCATCAACCAGCTGGCGCAGCCGGTCGTAGTCGGCATTATCGTTCTGAGAGTAGTCCATAGCAAGGATTTTAATCTGTAGATCAGGGTGCTTAACCTGAAGCTCTTGCGCGACAGCCTCAAGCTTAGACTGCGTGCGTGAGACGAGAACAAGGTTGAAGCTTTTGGCGGCCAGCTCCGAGGCGAACAACTTCCCTAGACCGTCTGACGCACCGGTGATGACAGCCCACGTGCCATTTTCACCATACTTGCGGAGCTGTCAGTCACGGAGCAGGATGTTAGCAAGTGACACAGCTCATTCTGTAGAAGGAGAGTGTGCCTGCCTACATCAGCCCCACGAAGAATGAACGCATTGGCGAGAAGCTGCACGAAGCTCAAGGCACGCGTCGTGATTAACAGGGCTCCAATTCCCGCAAATAACCACTGCACGCGCTGCGGAAATGACCGGAAGGAGCCATGAGCAGCCTCCATGACGTAGAACTGGAGTAAATTGACGGTCCTGCTGTTCGATTGATAATAATCTGCGACGCGCGACCAGCGCTCCAAGCCAAGGTTAGCAAAGGACGGTGTCAAAGTTAAAGAGAGCTTCGTCCAAATATAACCCGATTCAGCTTCTAAAAGTGTGGTGAGAACTATTGAAGACCTCTGTATCATCCACTGCGATTGGTCCATATAGCCTAAACCTCACCTAATGCCATCAATTTCTACGAACAGGAAAAGGTGTGGCACCTCTAACTCGGTTTTCGTCAATATTTTTCTCCCTAGTCGAGGCAGGCCCAGAGAACACCTTGTTGGCCTGCAGCAACTGCTCGGAGACTTATCGGCAACTTTACGAGCTGTCTCAGAGGACAACCAATGCCCCAGAACTACCAAACTCATCAGTTATTCTCGTACAGCCTACACAGCTTCCTTCAATCTCTAATATCAACACTTGTTGATCTGGAGCCACTTGTCAATCTAGAAAATTAGTCTGTCTGTGACCGGTTGAGAGTTCAGTGAACACTACCCAGTTCCTTACCAGCCACCAGGCGATCCTTGCGTCTGAACATCTTGGTCTTTTTTTACTCCCGAAATGGCAGAAAGTGAGTCCAGTACGAGAACCATCGGCGAACTCAACCGAGGATACTTCAAGTTGGACCGACCTGCTGTTCTAACGCTACTCGACGCCAACAGAATTGTGTGTACACAGTGCAGGAGCTGTCAAAGCCTTCACTATCCCGTGGGTGCGCAATTTGATTGAGCAAATTTCAAAGTACCTGCAGGAGAATGTAGAGTGGATCGGCATACCGAACCAGGACGCCACGCAGGATAGGCCTATAAAGCTGCTTGACTATGCCTGCGGGAACGGGATTGTCGATGGTGAGACTATCAGGCTCTTAATTATATAGCATATTCACGAATTACTAAAATGACACAGGCTCTTTCTCCATTTGTGTCAGTCTTACGTGGCATAGATCTTTTTGATGGCATGGTCGAGCAATACAACAGTGTTTCTAAGAAGCAAGAGCTTCCATGGGATAAGATGCACGCTGTTCGAGGTGATCTATTAACCGAATCCGACCACCTCGAGGATCCCGATTTTCACGGCTTCGATGTTGTTGTGATATGCATGTCATTGCATAATGTCGAAGACGCCAGTGATATTGTTCAGAAGCTTACTGAGCGTCTGTGTCCAGGTGGCTCCCTTCTCATAATCGACGGAGTCTCGCCGCAGGAGAGTGGCTGCGTTCCTCCGCCTCAGGCGCAGCACCCCGCCGCCCATACTATTATGTATCAAGGCTTCACCGAGAAACAGGTGCTTCACATGTTTGAAGAGGCGGGATTAACGGATTTCAGTTATCGATGGCACCCAGAGAGGTCTATGGGACCCGAGGAGCTTGGTGAGGCAGCTGTTCTTCGCCAGAGCACGGAAAGGAACCGCGTCTGCATGATACGGTTTTCTTTCAAAGCTTCTTGTTACAATCTTGTTTTTATTGGTAAGCGGATTGCGCTGAGAATGAGAACCGATTTTGAATATCGATATAGATGTCTCAGCTCCTGGCCCTGTAAATTGTTCAAGACAGTCCAACTCAAGTGACAATCCCGATTATTACTGTGTAGATTTTCCCGCGAGTCACAGCTGTACACCGGGAAGGGCCCTCGGCGTGTCCTCGAAAGATACTGCCGAATGCCAGAATATATTCCTACGTTGGCAGGCCCCACCACAGACCTATAGTGTATTGACGCCTGAGCAGTATCAAACCACGCTTGTGGTGTTGGTGGGTGTTGTCCATAGGCCTCCAGCTCGCGTAGGTAGCACAGCTACGTGGTTGTTAGCGATGCATACCTACTTGGGCCGGCGCGGAAAAACGAAACATAGGATTGTCACGCAGGCACTGTAATTTCTGAGTCAAAAGACGTCATGGACTTGCCAATACCTCGATCGAGGTCGGCCGACGACTGCTCCCGAGTGGAGCAAATGCCTAAGGAATATCCGGATTATTTGGAAAGCTTTGGTACTATCTCTCTGGCACTTACTAGTGAAATTTGGTCGGTGCGGTTTTTTCCTTCAAATTGGCAGAAGCATATAGCACAGTCTTCAGAGCAGGGTGAGGACTTCAGTTGTACGACAAGAGTCGCTGCCCGGAGTGATAGTATTAATCTGAGCCTTGAAACCTAAATTATATTGTGGTGGTGCCGCGACTACATGATAAGCTATTATTTCAGGTATAGTCAAGGAAGGAGATTCAGCTATGGCTCCATGCGAGTACTTGACTAGAGTTATATCTATTGAAAGGATGAGATCATACATCAGATGATATTGTATAAAACCAAAATCTCTAATCTGAACCTTTTCCGTAGAAACGATTCATTTGCCCATATTTTGTACTACCCCTCTTAGGTCAAGTACTTGACCACGCTCCAGGGAACGATAATCGTAGGGTTATGTTCTATGCGCATCAAGGGGAAGTTGTACATTGGCGTGACTAAGGTAAGCCACAGAAAGACCCAGACATATCCGATAAGCTTTCCAAACGTTTGGATGTACGAAAAGTCACTTCTCTTCGCGATAAGTCTGTACCAAAGCCATTGAACACCGTCTTCCACAATGATTCCAGGGACTATGAGGAGGAAGCATTGCATAGCTCCAGAGAGCCGCCACGAGGCCATGCCGATGCAGTAGTCATCTAGCATATGGAACTGTCCAGATAGAAAAAAAACTATTGTTATAGTCAAATAGGACTGTAACAATGACGGTTTAAGTCCGAGGAGATCATGCGTTATGTAGGCGGCGATATTCTTCATTGGTATCCTCAGACACTGTTGCCAGAATTTGCTGTAAATCAAAAGTTAGACAATTTTCGAAATAATCTGTATATGAATAAACGCATAGCCTCTGGGACCTACTTGAAGTACCGGCGCAAAGTATAACAGTCGCTGTAGTTCCCGTATAGCGGCGGCCACTGTTTAACCTCGGAAATACCGAGCCCAACCCAAATGACTGAGAATATGCGGTACCAAATGTCCACCAGAATTCTGCCCATCAGATACCAGTTCATAAATGTTACCATCGATCGACCAGCAAGATCTGCTACAGTGACTGGATACGGGTTAAGAGGGAGCCACAACCACTCCTTACCTTCTGCCCAAGCCTCAGCAGCCTCGGGGGACTGAGGTTGAGATATAATGAGACCGAGAAGAAGATACTGAAAGGTGATCAGAGAACATTGCCGTAGAAGGAACCTGGGCTTCGAAGGAACAATGTTGCCTGGAAACTTTGGAAGAGATTTAATCTCAAACGATGTTCCAATACCTCGGAAGCTCCAGAGCATGGCAGTAGTGAAATATAGCCGCGCTACGAGGCTAGGCTTCGCAGAGATAGTCTTCCATTTATGCATCTCACGACGGATATCTACATCATCGAGAGGCTGTAGACACAGGTGATTAAAGCATATAAAGACATTAACCCAGCTACCAACGGAGAACCCGAGATATAGCATCAGCTGGAGTGTAAATGCGGATGCCGTCTGGATAGAGACCAGACTGAGATAGAGTAGAATCGGTAGTGATGCTTTTCGGAGGAGGGACGTTTTCGGTGTCAGGCATATTAGGGCCGCACTGATGATTGACTGAAGAGCCATACACGCTGGAGCGCGAATGTCCCAGGTCACCAGGGTCTTTGGGCTGTAAACTTGTTGCATTGTAAGTTGACGGATATATCGAGAGTCGCACAGATGTGTCAAATTTCTATACCAAAGAAGGTAAAACATGAGTTTCACTAAGACCTAGAGGGATTATACTTAGGAGTATAGGGATGCCTTCATGATAGACAAGTAGAAGTCGATACTGGTTCTAAGCTTCCTATTAGTCAGGTCCGATACCCGGACAGAGCCTCTCATTCTTCGCTTGTCTGATGATGCACACTCACTCGGCCCGCTACAGACGGCGGCCGAACACTGAGCCGAAACCTTAACTTCATACTAATACATTAAAGTGCTATTACCAAAAACAGGCAGTCGGGTGGCCAAGCAGCCCCCACAGGACCCATATTTGTACTTTTCCCATGCCTTGTCGACTATCCTGCTGTTAAACGGCTTCCTAACTCGCTCCTTGGCTTCTTTTCGGTTGATCTCAAACAATACTGATCACCCACTCTATGTGGCATTGCAATAAACTGGGCTGTGTCTATAGCTCTCTGACGATCTTTCTATATGACGTGCTAAACCTCCTTGTTGGGCTGTATGGGTTCGATTGTTGGCATTATCTTTTCGGGTTCTAATCCTTCTAAATGGCTAGCCCAACTCGTTCAGCCTAAGTATTTGTTTGTCTCGGCCACGTCTTCTTGCTGGATTGGATGGCTGGGTTTCTGCATTTTCACTTATCGTTGGCTTCCTATCTGTAAAATCTTCTCGATAGTCTCGTTGGCTGGCGTATCTGGACTGTGGTCTATGCTGCTGCTGGTACTGATGTGTGGAACTTGTCAATTGACTTCAAACCACACTCTTGCACATCGGTTGCGAAACAAACGTTGTGTGAGAGTTTATTGGGAATTGCGTTCTGCACTAAAGAAGGAGCGAAACAACTGATGCTCTTGTTTTCAGGTCTTGAATGGAAAGGGTATAGTTGATTATAATCTTGTTGTTTCTCTGGTGAATATCTTTGAATAAAATTGTAAGAGTAGCTTTTATAATGTTTATTTAGTTTCTTTTAGGTAGATATAAACTATCTATATCTTTGATAGATAATAATAAAGTAAATAGTAAGGTGAATTTTTATTATACTTTAATATCAATTTCTTAATATTAATAGTATAGTTTATTACTTATAACAGCATATAGCCATAACAGTATATAACGCTAGTAAGACTATAGAAAAAACCTTTTAAAGAGACATTATAAGCCAACTGTTAGCTCTAGAAGGCTCTTAACTAACTATCCACCCTTCTTACCAAAGGCTTTTAACAAGTATCTAAGGCTTTCTAACTATAAAGT